TTTAAGAATTTTTAAAGATGGAATAAAAATCTGAAATTTACTGGTAAATAGTAACCCAAAAATTAAATTTTGAATTTCCAATCTACAGGCTTATTTTATTATCTGCTTGAATTGTAACGCTTCCAAATACATACTAAAAGGGGTAATTAGAAGAATGTTTCAATTATCATATAAATGCAATCCCAATAACCATGTTTCCTCACTATAGGAGAAGTACGAGACAAAATGGCTAATCTCTCAATTTGAGAGATAAAACCTAAGTCAATCCCTCACTATGGGGAATACAAGCCAAGGGAGACGTTCCCTCTCTATGGGGGAAGCACTATAAGCCAACCATCATGTATTAATGAAAGCAGTCATCACATGATGGTAATAGACATAATTCACTCACCAATTCCCATCATATACATCATACTCGAAAAATCAATAAGTGGTCAATTTCTAATTCCATAATCTGTTTCCAAATCAAAGTCTAAAGTAGTAACCCATTATCACAAACCAAAGCATTGCATTTTCAATACTCAGTCCCATAAGACATAGTCATTTCTAATACATCAACGTAATTCTAAGTATATACCAAAATAACTTTTATTGATCCAAAACAATAAAACTACATACAAACAACATATTAGCATACATAATGAGTGGAAAGTAGTTACTTTTCACCTAAAATAGTATCAATTACCATAAACAAGCTACCTTGTGTACAATACCTCAATCACAAACATTTACCACATATTAGTTAACAAACGAATCAAGTAGGTAACAATAACAATTAGGGACTTAAATCCCTTGACTTATCCCAATCCTCAATTCAACTCCAAATTGATTATTCCAAGACTCAAAACACTACACCAATAGGTCAAATGACTCAATAGAATCCTCAATTAACTGCTAATTACACAAATTGATCAAAAGCCCTCATTTCACAATGTAAGGTTGATCATCAAAAATACCCAAATCTAAAAATTAACTCAAATTAACATTCTAAATTGATTAGTCATCCATTCTAACTCATATTAATATAACCCAATCATCAAAACTCATTTCTGAACTCCATATTGTCATCTACTATCAAAAACCTCTGAGAATCATAAACCCTAGCCTCTAAAATCCTTAAAACTCCTAATCTAAGAAAACTAAACCAGTTAAACACTTAATCTAATTCATATAAGTCATTTATACTCAAAATAATTGGTCAAAACCTCAGCCCATTCAGAACCATTGAAAAATCTTAAGATTCAACTATTTCAAACTTAAAAATTCTAAAAGAAAAGTTTAGATAAGAGATTAGGAACACTTACTTAAGGTATCGAGACCTTAGAAATACTTTTCCAAATCCAAAATATCAAACCCTAGTAGATCAAGGCAATTCTCCCTCCAAAAACTTCAATTTTCACATCTAAAATGCACTCCCACATTTAAAGAGTTGGGCTCTAGAGGAACTTTGAATCTCTATGGTTGTGAAGAACCAATCTATTAGTTTTGAATTAATATGTATGTAACTACTTATGTTTTATGTAGATTGCTTGGAATTATTGGTTTAAGCACAAGGTTAACCTTATGATAATCCTTTTTCTTACTTGGATGAGAAATAAATACTCTCCACTTGGTATATGTGTTAATATATTGTTTCTGAGTATTTTAATAACATGAAATAATAGAAGGAAAAATGACACAAAATGAAGTTGGAAATTGTAATATTCCAATTTAGGCACCGAAGAGGTCAAAATCCCAGCAGAGGAAGTAGTGCCTGATTTGATATTTTGTAAATGTAGTCAAATGACTAAAATGCCTCTGTATCAGCTTTTTAAAAAAAAAAAAAAAAGCTATCAGACTTGTCATTTCCAGTACATTTCTTATCATTAGTTATTCAATACTTGTCATTACCAGTTTACAACTTATTAATAAATATCTTGCTTGTCAGTACATTTCTTGTCATTTGCTATTTAATACTTGTCATTGGTTGTTCACAACTTGTTAATAAACATTTTGATGCAAGGATATTTTTGTCATTTAGCTACATTTGCAAAATATCAGATCAGCATAACTTTTTCCCCTGGGATTTTAACCTTTTAGGTACCTAAATTAGAATATTGCAATTTTCAACTTCTTTTTATGTCATTTTTCCCATAATAGAATGCTTATGAGACTTTTATAATACTTGATATATCTTTTAAATTATTAAATTGTCTGGTAGAATGTATTGGTATGAAATGAGGAGTTTGGAAAAAAGGTATTATATCGTAACTATTATTTTGAAATAGTATGCTTATTAGAATAAAGTATTATTTGCTATGTACCTTTGGTTGCAACTTTTGTGATTGAATTTTGTTCAGGGTTATTGAGTTAAGTCTAGTTCTACCATGTGATAAAACCTTGATTTGTACACATTAATTGGCTCTCTTGTACCTCATAAATGAATAGGCCATTGCGGCTTTTTTTGGTCCCCCTGCACAAGCAATAGGATCTTATGGCTTCTTCTCATCCTTATAGTACAGTATAGGGATAGTCCTATTTGGCTCGTATGCATATCCCATAGTGTGCAAATTGCTTGATTGTGATTTATGTTGAAAAGTTTGCTATTTGATTTTATTTATGTTTAATATTGGATTTCATAATTATCTCATTTGACACCTTACGAGTATATGTTGGTATGTATGATGAGTTAATATATTAATTAATAAGGCCTTTACCTACTTTTGATTATGTGATAGACTTATGTATATTGCCACATAGGACTTATCTGCATATTTTGATTTGTATTTCTTGACTTTTGGCTAGCTAATTCTAGATTTGGAGTGCTGGTAGAAAGCTAAAGGCTGTTGCTTTTGACTTTTATGCTTTTTATTGTTGACTTTTAGGGCTCCATGATTGTGATTTGGAGAACTTAAATAGAAAATTGTGATTCATCAATGTAGTGTGAGTTTGTTTGTACAAGCTTTTTCAAGAAGTCTATGACCGAAATTATTGTTAATTATGATCAAATGTTATTAATTAGGGATTTGTTTTCAATAGGCATGTTATGTGGGTTGTGCCATTTTTTTAACATAGTTTGCATGCGAAATGATTTAGTAAAGCTTTGACGAGGGCCTCTATCATATGCCTTGGGATCTGCAATCAACAATTGCAAAGGAGTGTAATATATAGTGTAAATCTACTCTTTCAAGGAGCAATTTATTAATTCTTAAATAACCTATATGCTATAAAACGCAATATTAACAAGGGAAGTATAGTTTGCGTTTTCTTTTAACTACCTAAATATAAGAATGATTAAAGGTCCTAAACTATAATGTTTTGGTCTTTTTATGTAATTAACGAGTGGACATGAGAATGGATCATATGCAATCTCTTGAGAATGGGTTAATTAGCCATCCTAGTTCGATTGATGATATGGGAGTTAGGTGATTAGGATATTATTAACATGTTCCTTTTTAATCAGATTCCCATGGAAACATTAATTAATAGTGAATTCACATTAATCACATTACCTAAACAGTAACATGCTTGATAATATGAAAACAAAAGATTCAACACATCAAAATATACACACGTCACCCTACACACGTATGTAAGCGATCTAGTTTCCTTTACATTTGTTTCTTACTCTACTCCTTCTTGTTCTCCTTTTCTAGCTAGGGTTTTGATATCTCCATGATAAACCTTTAGCTTTCTCTGGTTGTATAACACGAGTTTATCCAGAGTAATGATAGAGATTCGTGAGGATGCTTAAAGGGGTGTTTGGATAGAAACCAAATCATGGTTTCAGAAGTGCTTTTATGGATTACGAAGTAAATATGTGGAGAAGGTTATCTCGTTTTGCGGAAAAGTGCTTCTGAAACCTAAGTTTTGATTTTGCCAAACACCCCCTAAGTGTGCTTTGGGGAATTCTTGCAAACTGTCTTAAGAATCCGAGTAATATAAACCCTTTCTCTCTTCTCCTATTAGCTTCTATAGCTCATAAGATAAGTGTAAACCATTGGAATGAAAAAAATGAATAGAAAAACTATTTGAATAGCCTATGGTAGCTAGTGGATAGTTGGGATGGGTGATGACTGTGAAACCAATGGTGTTATGAGATTCTAGGATTAGATAGAAGCCTTGAACATGAAATTTCTGGACTTTTCACTCTTTAGGTTGCAATCTCTGAGTGACACCGCTGCGAAGGGACTGTCTCACCACTACAACACATTGATTATTGTCACCCCAAAAAGTACCATCTTGCCACAACAAAGGACCCTGTTCGCTTCAGTGATAAGTATACATTGGGTGCTTTGTGATTTTGTGTGCCTGTAAGACCTGTATTTGCTTGATGTATATTATATCAGTGCATGAGGATATTTTATAATCATGGATGGCATGACTGAACACCAATACTTGCATGTGATAATTTATGTTAAAGGATTAGAATGTATTACTATGGGGAAACAATCATGAATGAAATATCCTGTTTGTTTAGTTTATGATAAACCATAAGAATAGGGAGGTGATATGAGGAGAACATATGTTATGACCATGTGGTTTACTTTCATAGCCCACTAGGGTTGGCCTCTTGAAAAGGGCAGCACACTCTTATTTGTGGCATTCTAGGAGTATCTTGAAACAGTATACCCTGAGAAGGGCATACCCATCAGGATACTAGGCAATAACCCCTTAGACAGTATACCCTTTTTTTGAAGAAGCTCATGGCCTGCATGTACTCCATCGACTTTGGCTAGTCTTCATCACAAATGAGGGAAGCTCATAAGAGTCATTAGTCACACGGTAAGACTTAGCTCACGAGTTCAACTTAGCAGGTATAAAGAGAATATAAGGCAGGAATTGAGATTAAAATACTGATTGTGTTCTCGCCCACCATAGCAAATTCCAGAATAGTTAAACCACTTCTCCAAAAGAATCGAAGGGGCCAAAAGAGAATGAACCGCGATGAACTAACGGTAGAACAAAAGGGCGCCTCCGTGATCTACAGGCCACAAAACTATCATAAAGGCACCATACCATATGTGAAAAGTCTAACCAAGTACTAACATACATTGGTACAAGAGAGATAAGCATCACTTCTTCAGGAAGCAAATGTAGATATTTCCAAAAAAAAGTAACAGTAACAATATCAAACCTTGGGAGCTTGAAATGGCCGTTTCAAAAGTGAAGCAGAGTCAAAGCCCATTTCATTCAATGCTCTTAGCTCACGAGCAATGATTAGAAATGCCGTTCTCATGTTTAACTCAAAATTGCCTGGGAAAATTGTGTACGCAATCCGACTAATATTTACCCCATGCATACTATGGTTACACTAGAGCTATAAGACTACACCTTCAGTAACTGAACAGATGCTTATTTCAACCCACCACCAACATCAGTGATGAATATGCTTCCTGAATCACACCACCCACCCAAAACATCCATATTGGAGCACTGCAACAAAAATAATATCAGATTAGGGCAAAAAAGAAAATGAATAACTACTTTTTAATCCCCAGAAAGAGCATTAGTTTCCAATGTTTCTTTGTTTTCCGTTAAAGATTTCTTCAATTGAAAAACAGTAGCAATTAATTGATTGATTGTCCGCTCAATTTGCTAATTATTATATAACGACTTTAGGAACACGTATTAGATGAGAGAGATTCCAAAATACGTCACACATGAAATATTATGCTAATAATATTGGTGATAGCTTTCATATAACACTCAGAAAAATAAGCAAACGATAAATTACTTGACAGCAATTATTTGTCAAGAGGATCTTTACAAGAATGGAACATTTCTTCTGTTGCTGTGAATTTCCTATCACAAAGTCTAACAACAAATAAAATGCGAATTCTCAAAAGGGGAAAACCCCCTAAACTCAAAATTAACAAGAAAGATGACAAGTGTGATGGCAACTTTTAACTGAAAAAGCAGAGGAGGAAGAGGAGGACGAGGAGGAGGGGCTTTTAAAGGCCAGTTCCAATATTTTAAGAAACTGGGCATAATATACCTTATTGTTGCAGATTTAAGAACAAGCAGGAAACGAAAGGTGCTAATTTTGATTTTACCTCATTAGGTATGGTTTGCTTTGATTTAAATGTTAATTTTTCCTTCGTCTTTCCCCGTCCTTTTGAACATCAGGACAGTGGACATGTTTTTGAATAAATTAATGTTCATTTATCCTCTTCTCAGAGGAATTTAATATCGACTTTTGACCTGGTTACTTCTCTCTTGCAGGGAAATAGAAAAATAGCTGGCTCTACTTGAATCAGTCACCGTTGGTTCCACTGTTTTATCTAAGGACTTGTATACGTTGAATGTTGAATTCTGTCTCTGCTTCTGAATAATGAAACAGTCCTAGTACTAAAGTTGTTATTGGCAATAAATCTTCCTTGCTAGGGCAGACAGTTCGGTCACATTTCAATAGATAGGTTAGCAAAGGGATGTGAATCCATCAGCTAAGATGACCAGTGTAGTGGTATGCTTGAGGTTGTCTGAGTCTGTCTGTGAGCATGAATATCCACATTCTTTGGAATTCTTCGTATTAGTATTATTATCATTTCAAGACGGCTCAATAGACTAAAGTTGGTATAAACAAGTTTCATGTGAGTGGTGGTGGTGTAAACAATGAAATTTGGTGATATTGGAATTTTGTGAAACTTGATCAATCTGCAATAACAAGAAAAGTAATTAAGAAAAAGCAAACAGGATTGATATCAAACGGAATGTTATGTCCAGCATCAAATGAAAAGGATAATAAAAGTTGAGTTTAAAAGAGACCGAATGTAATTTAGCTCCAATCGATGTCTGTGCTTAGATATAGTTGGAAGCTACCTTTGGTTCTATTAAATGATTTTATCCGTTTTATTTTAATGAAGGATTATCATTTTTTTTTTTTTAGTTATTTCTAATAACGATGTTATTATTTTGAGATCATCTAACGTATTTTGTTTCAGTTAGGACATAATCACCTTATTTTGATTGTGATAAAGTTATATTATTTTAGGATAATTATATTTTTTATTTTTTATTTTATTTTCAGGAGACTAAGATTATTTTAAATATTTTTTTTATATAGGCTTTATCACTCAATTACTTGAGAGTTTGGATCTCTCATCATTGATAAATACAATGCAACTTTCATGTAATCATACAAATTTGAAGGATAATTAACCCTGAATATTTAGTACCTTGCTAAAGCCGAGCCAGTTTGAATCTCCTCTAAAGGAAAATAATTTGTTGCTTTCTTTCCATTGTCCACAAAAGACCTGCATTAGAGACTCAGAAATTCAGACCATTATGAGAATCAAGAGCAACATGTAGCCATACATCTGGTCCAAACCAAAAGGTACTCAGCGTGGGAGGTTGTAGATGCTACATAAAACACTAATTTTGTATGATAGAAAAATGTCTAAGATGCCTTGGGTAGTTGGCCAACACAACAAAAACAAGCCATATTATACCATTGTATTCTATCAACAGCCAACCCTTTAGTAGTTGGACATAAAAAGTTTAAAACAAATTATTCCACAACAAGAAGTCTTTTCCCACCAGTTGAGGTCGGCTATATGGCACGCACACATGCGCAAAAACTCACACGCACTCGTTCACAAGCAAACACACGAATGCACACGCAAAAAACAATCATTGTCATAAATGCTTGAGGTAATGCATACAGTGTGTGAATGTTCTCTAATAAATACAATAAAATCTAATTTAAGTTTGATTTCCCACAGGGAATTTGCATTTATGCTTGAGGTCACAAAATAAGGTAGTGCAAGACAATTACCAAAGATATATATCAAAAGAAAATTATTAAAACTTGAAATTTCCTCCTAGTTAAAGTGAGTTTGACCCCCACTTGAAAAAATCATTGCAATAGGTAAGCACTGTAAACTGATAGAAATTGATGACAATAAAATATGCCAAAAAAACCTTACATAAAGTCATCACTATCACTCTATTTAATTATATCTATGAATTACAATGTTTAAAGAATATAGTTCCCCTATTAATTTCCTCAACATAACAATAGACATGATTATATGAAACAAAATCTAATAAGCAACAGTACTAATTTTGCTTTGAAATTGAGTGATAATGAGCACTGATGTTCGAAATTTTAAGCAAGCCAATCCAAATGGATAATCCCACCTTCACCCATATCATGATTCAAGTCACTAATTTACTATCCAACTTCACATAAATTAGTTAAATTTTCAAGTGAAATAGCACCCATAAGACCAATAATTTAAAATCAGAAACTGGAGAAAGAATTACCTTATAATCAATCCCTTGTACATAGATATAGTTAGGGTCAATTGTTGAAAAAGCGAGTCCCGTTATCTGCAGCACAATAGTGGAAATGCAATCAACAGTCATCTATATCAGCAATGGAAGATCCAAAAAGAACTTGTTTCTAGTTTAATTGTACAGGAAATAAATAGCAAAAGGAAAGTTGAAGCAGTTGGCAAAAAGCTAGGTAGATTATTTCACAGCCAAAAGGTCCTCTCATATCAGCTAAAGCATTCATTTCCCGCCCACAACCTTCCCCACTTTCATCCCCCCCCCCCCTTTTTGCAATAAATATTACTGTTTCATAATGTTCGACAGGTTGAATTTAAGCCATCTCTTTTGAAGAGGTTGAAGACCCTGAGCTACTAGTTAATGGGGTAATTTAGCATGACTAAATCGCAAGCAGCTTGAATATATTTAGTGATGGAAGTACAGAAACATTAATTTGCCATTTACTTTTTGCACTAAGTATGTGTTTCTCAAGCATAAATGCTGCTACATGAGGAATATATATGGAAATAGAAATGATCATTGGATAAAATCAACTAAATGGAGTGCTCATAGTGAGACAAGCCACAAAAATAAATTATTTCATAGAATAATTATGAACATACACAACTTCAATACATGTCATCGTATGAACTTGTACACAGGGATCAAAGAAATTAACACCACTTAAGTTGTAATCAAATCCTTGTAGAGAAAAATAACAAAAGAATTCGTTTCCGATGGTTCATCATTCCCCACACTTCTCTGCATAAATTAATGTATATAATGGCAGAATAGCAACAAAGCCAAACGGTCTCATCATCTCCCATATTATTCCTTCAAGAAAATATTAAAAACAGAATCAAAACGTAAAGAAGGACCAAAGCAGCAATCATCATTAAAACTGACCTCATATTTTGAACAGTGCACCCATCTAGATAAAGCTGACCATCTACGTTAGAGATATAATTTACAAGGTTAGGATCAATCTGCTTCAGGTGACAATAAATGAGCATTTCCTCCCCCCACCCACCCGAATAAAAACCAAAATTTTCCTTTATGCACCTTCTGCTTAATAAAAATGAGCAGTAAGTAAACAAACAAAAAGTAATCAAGATTTCTGCATGCTACTCCCATCAGCAATATATGTTATCGACACATTTACGAACAACTCTTTTTAGCTCAATGGAGTGGAGGAGAAGGGAGGGGTTTTAAATGAGGGGAGAGATAGAGAGGAGGGCAGGAAGTAATTTAATGATCCCTTATTTAGATTGATTGGAAGGGAGCGGAGGGAAGGCATTTTAATAATATTTTGTTTGGTTTAGGAGGGGAATGGAAGCAAGGGGAGCTAAGTATCAATTAACTATTTTACTCTTATAAAATTTAAATAGATTTTCTTTCTATAAAAACTTAAAGAAAGAAGGGCTTCAGCCACAAGATTCCACAAATGTAAGGAGAACAAATAGGGGCTTCGATAAATGAATACAGATTTGACGCTGACAAAATGCCCATGACTTGTAACTATCTCATGAGTGATGTAATCAAGTTGAGATCAGTTTTAGAATGCCCACCTCTATACCACAAAGCAATAATCATCGATATGGGGTTTGGATCTTCAAATCCTCATAATGGAGCAATCTAGTTTCAATGTGGCGTCCTGTTTTGACCTTTTCTTGATGTAGATGATGCTTGCATCTCAATTGTCACTGTTCTTGTAATGATAAATTAATTCCCCTTAACTACTTTAATGAATATATATATTGATGATGAATATCATCTGCGAGTGCATTTTGACAATGAATATAGTTTTTCCTTATAGTTTATGTTTTAATTATGCATTGGATATGGTAAAGTGATAAAAGTTCTAATAGTAATATATATAGACAAGAATACTCTTTCAATTTGTTTATTGTATAAGATTAGGTCAATCAATATATCTGCAGACAAGTTTGTGAAGAAAAGTTGAGCCAAGCCATGCAAGTTTTTTTGTTGTGCTTAGAAAAGGGAATCAAAACGTATTCCTTTTTTAAAAATGGTTGTATTACTGCCCATGCTCGTAATGTCATAGGTCTCAGCAATTGACAAATAATTTAAGCAATTATGCCAAATAGTTTATGTGCATAAATTTTTCACAAACACATGCTAGGTATCATAGTTGCGTTTGAGAAATACTTGTTAAATATTAAAAAAGTTATAATTATTGTTATTAAAAAATGATATAAATTTTTCACAAATATTTGTTGGCTAGGTATCATAGTTGCATTTGAGAAATACTTGTTAAATATTAAAAAAGTTAAAATTATTGTTATTAAAAAATGATATTAAGTTTGTTCAATTTTTATGCAATTATTTTCAACTAATAAATAATAGATTAAAAATAATTCTCACATGTTAAGTCAAAAATGATAAATTGTATTATACATATTTATTTCATGATAAATTGAAATGAAAGAAAAATTAATTTAAATTTTATGAGGGTAAAAAATTATTTTATAGTTAGCTTCCCTCCCCTCCCTCATGAACCAAACAAGCTCCCTTCTCACCGTTGAGCCAAACAAGGTGTAGTAGCCCAGAGTCATGATCCCTAAACAAATTCCAGTATTTGTTTCCTATAAGACCATAACAGTGACTAACCTGCGAGGATCATAAATGGTCAGTGTGCGATCAGCTCCCCCCACAGCAAGATTGCCAGTTGAAGAACTGCAAACAGAATAGTATATATCACCAGGGGAACCACATACTCGACGTATACAACCACCATTCTCGTTCATTCTCAAGTCCCATATAGTCAGCTGCAATTTAATAACAGATGATGCACTAAAACATATGCAAACAATAAAAAAAAAAAATGAGGGAACTCAAGACAATCCCAAGGCAAAATAGAAAAAAAGCCATCAAAGCTAACGGATTTACCTGGCAACCTTCAGTAACAGCTAAGATAGAACCTCCATCTCCACTAACTCCATTTTGCATAAAGTTTAGTGAAGTAGGGCACCACAACCTGTGAAAACCAAATTAACTAAATGACATCCATGCAAATTGATGGAACTTGCACTGAAAATGCTTTTAAACGGTATGATTCAGGCAGAGTGTGGGTCTAACCATAAAACTATAAGGAGAATAACAGAAAACACACCCTCACAAACTCACTGGTTCCCTAGCATTCAAGAGGCTAGAATCTACCGACCCCTCTAAACCCCTTTGATAAACCTCTCTCTTGCAATACTCTCTCACTCTCTCTTCTAGCTCATCCCAGTACATATTGTGCAACAATTTGTAGCAGCACCCAATTGGCAATTCCCTCTCCCTTCCTCTTTCATAATCTCTTGTCTTTATTTTCTTGCCATAGCTCATCAACATCTTGGGCCCACGAGTTGCAGGTCCATCACATATAAATGTTAACAAATGAAAAATTTAGTACGAGTTACACCATTAAGATTTGGCCTTTTGGTGAAGAAGCACAAGTCATCCATAAATAGGGGCAAAAAGGAAAATATCAGACCCTGCCATCCTATGAAGCCAAGAAAAATGATAGCAATAATTTAGTTCTCTCAGACAAGCCATGCAAAAGTTGATTAAGCTGGTCAAGAATCTTGATTAGTGAACACTTCCTTCATAGCAAACCAAACTACTATTAATGAGATAAATAAAGAGGGCCTTCATAACAAAATGTGAATTTAAACAAACACTCTGTCAATGGAGCATTCTGCAGGTTAAACATCTTGATACTTAAGGGTGACTGTGAGAGAAAATATTTCATGCACTAGAAAGTAAGTTGGAAGTTAAATAGACAATCAGTAAGAATACAGTCAGGAGCTTTTCTTCTACTCTTCCTTTTTAACTAACTACATTGTCAAAATGCCACCCACGAAATCACTAATCAAACTACATTCAATCAATTATTGCAATTTTTATCTGTAATATATTCATGACCTTTAATTAAATTATGGCATTCAATCAATTACATTGGCAGCAATTTAATTAAATTATGGCATTCTGGATGGGAAGGGATATGAAAGAAAAGATAAAGTTTAAAATGAATGACTTGAAATGTTCAACAGCTTTAATGTTTAAAATACAAAATTTGGCATCAGTACAAGTCAATGACTCCAAGGCATAGTCATTACCATATCCATGTATTTTGAGCTACTGCGTACTAGACGAAGGGGATAGTGGAATGAGTTTTATTAAATCTTTATTCGTATGATGTCACAATGAATACCATAAAAATAAAGTACAACAATTTGGAAGATGTTGAAACAAGGAAGAATGGAGGAGTAAATGGAAGTAGATAATTTTATTTCCAAAATATTAAAATTGTATAAAAACACTGGGAAGAAGATTTAACCATCCTACAGCTTCCTTACATTCTGAACGTACGAATGTGTATATCTTGATCATAAATGTCAATGGTTTTGCAAAAACTGCGAGCAACAGCAGCCTGGATGAAGAAACCAGCCAATCAACACATCAGGAAACCCCATAAAAAGGGAAGTAAATGGTCAAATGTCAAAACTAGAAAATTAAAAGGGTAGCATCTTCTTTCCTCATTCTTGTATTTTCCATTTGACTAGATACAAGGGAATGACATTTCATTAAAAATTTTAATAACTTTTCAAGACAAGGATACCAAATAATATGATATTTTATTTTCTTCTTTAACTCAAGTTATGGCTACTGCTACAGCTTCTGTACAATTTGATTGATTTAATGATAGGACTAAGAATTTACAAATAGAACATACATTACAGACCTTTCAGATCACTATCAGCAGGAAATTATCATATGCGATGAAAACAATATTTAATCTGAAAAATTAATCCCAGCATCTATTATTTTGAACTATAAATGAAGTCTGGTTTTCTATAATCATACTTTGAGGCATAAAAACCATGAGATAGAAAAACTAAATGCCATAACCTGGGCAACAAAAGTATGTGAAATTCTTAAATTTGTCCATCAGAGCTCACCATAAAACATTGATTTGGGCTAAAGCAGAGTCCTGACCAACTTCCTTCTCCAATTCCATAGTCATTAGGTGACACTGAGTATGTAAGCCTGTCAAGATCTGCATATACACAGATGCCAGCAAGAGAAAAAGTTTAATAATAAATTTTCTTGCTGATATTAACATTTAAAATGAAATGAAAAAGAGTATGGCTAAGGTTCACAGAATCCAATCATATTTATTTCTCCCTCTCGACATGTCAGAACTTAAAAGCCACCAATCAGGTGAATCTAACCATTAATCCAATGAATTAGACACATCATAAACTAGAATACAACCAATGCATTCTCGAAGATAAATTGTACTGAAGACCTTTTAATAGGTACATGAAAGAAAAAGATAAATTATATCTCATTTAACTTTTACCTTTTGGGAAAGTATTACTTAAACTTTAATCTTGCGAAAATTAATCACTTGAACTTCAGAAATCTCCCACTATGAACTTCTAACTCTATCAATCAAGCACTTGTACATTGAAAAACCTTCAAGTAGGCACTTCCATCCAAATTCCACTCTCAATTAAAAACACAAGGAGTTAATATATGGTAAAGAAATTTGGAAAAAAATCACTAGTTTTCCTTCTTCAACGTAAATAATTCCGAATGACAATATTGACAAGGGGAAAAAAGTGTACCTTTACCCAAAGGATCTGACTTTGATACAATAAGATGACCGTAAGAATCCACAATTCCTAATGTTAAGTAGCCATGACCTGAAAAATATAGTAAGTTAACATATAGAACAGTGCATATATATTGACCTAAATTATGTTAGCATGTTAAGATACTGAAATACTAGGGAAAAAATTAATTATTTGGACCAATACTGGAAGTTTCTGTCCATATAAGTTTCATTTCAAAGCATCAACAAACATTTTATTCAATGTAGTTATGTTGAACTGTTACCATGCTGAATATAGTTCAACCAACTACTTATTCAACTTCTTTGTTCCATAACTATCAAATTGGGTGAAAAAAATACATACTCAAAAAGCGAATATTGCATAAAGCTACATTCTCAGTCAGAGAAATTTTTCCCAAAGCTGAAGAGGGACTTAATAGCTAATTACAGTTATCAAGAGCTGAAGACACATAAAACTAGTCATAATTACTGTTTCTACATATTGTAGAGCATTTACTGTCTTTCTGGTATCACCAATTAAAACTTATAGTACTGACAAATATACAGGAAATACAAACATTTAAGTATATTAGGTGAAAGTGTTCTTATATCAGTTATAAAATGGCATATAGATAGCAAAAGCTTTATGATAGAATAACAAAATCGAAAGAAAGACTTTAGCACCACTTGATTAATAAGGTATCCAACAAAAAGATTAACAAAAGGAAAAATAGAAGTACAATATTTCAAATAAAATAACTCATAGTAGTGTTATAAAACAATCAGAATGTTACAAGGCGAGAAACATTTCAACATTCAATCTCACATAATAAAATATTGTTCGACATTTGATTCAGGGTCCAAAGCCGTGTTGATATGCATCCGTTTCCAGGAAATATGCTAATGCTAATTGGCTACTTTGAATCAGGTACATAGAGAATCTATCTAAACTTTTACGCTAAATGAAATGCATTGTAAGAACTAAGTGCTAAGAAGACTGAAGAAATTATTAAGTCATAATTGTAAGACATAAGTTGCATACTTCCAGCTTCAGCAAGAACAATACTCTGAATTTCTGAACGATGAGGGCAGCGGTTGACTAATGATGAGTCAACAACCTACCAGAGACAAGAAGACAAAAATTCACCAATCACCATATTAACAAATAACAGGAAAACTAAGAAACTGAGCACAAGAAACATCCCATAAAAGGATCTGAGGCATAATGCTAATGCTTTCCCCTGTAGTACATGGGACTTCATACCTCAGTCTGTTCAGGGATCAAAAGACCTTCTTTTCCTTTACAAACTGAAGATTCTTCCAGTGTGATCTAGAAAGTAAATAAATTTAAGAAGAAAAGAAATAATTAGTTTATAACCGCAGGAGGCTCAAGTAAAACAGAATATGACTAAGTCTATAAAAACAAGATCATTGCCTGTAACAACTAGCATTAAATGTTCCGCAACAAAGCATTATTCAGCCCAAGCCTGTGTTATTCCATGTATACACCACACCAAATAACTTTGCTCATCACAATAACCATGAATTTGGATGCATTAATAAGAAGGAAAAAAAATCAAAAGAAAGCCAAACAATGATGCTTAACTTTATTAATCTAATCAGTTGCCCAGGACCATAAACTGACAAATGCGGTCATTCTCCCTCTCACATATGCAAACGCCACAAGTCATTACTAGATACCTGGAGCTTAAAGATGTCATAGCCGGAAGCTATGTATACAAAACTGAATCTTGGGTCTTCGCTAACCTGACAAATGAACTAAGAATGTAAGAGCAAATAGGGAGGCAGAAAGTAAATCATCCGTGACAAAGTTTCAGACGAGGACTTTTTACATGGAGAGCGAGGCGAGTAGACTGCAGGCTTCCAGGAGATGGGTCTTGAATAAGAGTAGATGGAACCACTGCTTTCTTCAGACTCTTAGCTTCTAACATCTTCACATTCGCTCTCTCCAAGCGCAAACGTTGCTTTTGAGGAGTAGACGGAACCAGTTCAGTATGAACTAAGATAACGAGTTTTCAATTTAATGTTGTTGGTAGTAGTTCTTCAGTGTAAAATTGGACGCTTTATAAAAATCTCGCAGTCTGGAAATTTCGCACTTCGTTCGGTTCGTTGAGGATTTGTCGGCCTTATGCTTGGCGACAGTGTAGCAGATGAAGAGACCTGAGGTTGAAATAAGCTTTGCCGGGAACGGTCATGCGAAGGGGAAGGGGCCTCTGATGCTCTGCATTAATTTTCTACTTTTTTTTTTTGGGTAGAAACTAGGTGGTATCCCTAGCCGATAGCGAGAGACTAATCCTCCTGAAGCTTACCAATTTTACTTTAGCAATATATTCTTCATCAATTTCTCACGTACCAATGAATGGCAGCATTAAATTGATTAAAAAATTAGCTTTTATCTAAATATTAATATATTTTTTCTCACTTATTTTTTTCTTACTTTTACTATAATTAATAGGAACAGAATTAAAAATGAAACATTAAAAAGAGTACAAGGGGCAAATAAAAATAATCAAAATTTCTCCCTACAAATCAACGACTGATAATAGGGAAAATGACAGATAAAGCCACTCTAATATATACAATTCCAGATTGGGTCCTGAATTGTGAAAATGACAGATTGGGTCATTGACCCAATCTGTCATTTGCAAAATGAGGGCAAATAGACAAATTTGGCCTTCTGATGTAAAAGCAAAAAGAATTATACTGAAGCAAGGAAATGTCGATGACACTTATGGCTCTGTAGAATTATACCGCAGAAAGATGGAGAATGTTTGACGGTGGGACCTTGGAAGGTGGTTGAAGCAAGCAAGGTTAGTAATTTCTCACACCACAGTTTTCGTCTATTCATCCTGGGGTTTAATCACGGTGGTTTTGTTCTTCATTTTGAAGTATTGTGATTGTGGGTATGGTTGGGTACACGTTCTTGGGCTTGAAATCTGAATGAGGTTGAAAAAAGCAAGTGAAGTAATTTTATGCACCACAATCTTCCTCTTTTCATCCCCTACCATGATCATTTATCAATATGGGTCTATCAACGTTTTTTCCGACGAAGCTGATACAGTAAATTGGGTTACGTACGAAGGTCGAAGCATGCGTACTTGTAGCGTTTCGTTGGTGACAGTGAAGTTCGTATTTTTATTTGCCTGAGCTGAAGCATTTATCCATAGGGGTTTGTTGCTTTTTGGTAGGGTTTACAATGATTAGTGTTGGGGAATGGAGGATTGTTTTTGGGAGAAAGTCGAAGCTGATTGCATGACATTGAAGTTTGAGGCATGACAGTTATGATAGGGTGGATATTATAGTTAATAGCTAGTGTTAAAGTGTGAAATCTTAAACTAAAGTTGTTAATGAGTGAAGAGGTACTGTTATTTATCTTTATTTAAAGAAGTGACAAAATATCATTATCGGTGAACTAACATAATGATTATTCATTTGTTTCAGCTTAGCTTGCACAATGAATTGTAATATTGGCTCCACTCCTGGGAAGGAATTATTTTGTTACTTTCATGTAGATGGAGAATTTGTTATTAGTCCTAAAGGTCAAGTTAGATATCATGGAGGTAGAGTACATGCAAAACGATAAAAGATAGAATGACACTTGAAGATTTAAGGGCAACTATATCAGAATGCAGTGGTTATGATGGTAGCAGTTGGGACATGAAGTATACTGTCAAGTATGATGAGAGGACATTAATTGATCTTGTTGATGATGGCGGAGCTAGAAATATTTTTGTGCATAATGACATCATTGCGCATGTGTATGTATCATTGAAAGGTAATGAGACTGAAAGACATAAAATCAATGATCAAGAAATGTAAGTTATAAATTTCTTCTGGTTGAAGGTGTTATTTGTTGTGCTAATGTAGTTAATGTGAGAACAGATATTGTTAATATGCTAACAAATGTAGTGATCGTCCATACAGAATTGAGACAGAACCACATGAGATGACTAATGCACAAATGTAAGTAAAAAAATTTTTGCTAGTGTAAGTTGCTATTTGCTGTGCTAATGTAGTGAATGTAGGAACAGATGTTGTTAATATGCTAACAAATATAGTGATCGTGCATGCAGAATTGAGACAGAACCGCCTGAGATGAATGATGCACAGAGGTAAGTAAAAAAATATTTCCTGGTGGAAGTTGATATTTGCTGTGCTAATGTAGTGAATGTAGGAACAGATGTTGTTAATATGCTAACAAATGTAGTGATCGTGCATGCAGAATTGAGACAGAACCACATGAGATGACTGATGCACAAATGTAAGTAAAAAAATCTTTGCTGGTGTAAGTTGCTATTTGTTGTGCTAATGTAGTGAATGTAAGAATAGATGTTGTCAATATACTAACAAATGTAGTTATCGTGCATGCAGAATTGAGACAGAACTACCTGAGATGAATGATGCACAGAGGTAAGTAAAAAAATATTTTCTGGTGGAAGTTGATATTTGCTGTGCTAATGTAGTTAATATGGGAACAGATATTGTTAATATGCTAATAAATGTAGTGATCGTGCATGCAGAATTGAGACAGAACCACATGAGATGACTGATACACAAATGTAAGTAAAAAAATCTTTGCTGGTGTAAGTCGCTATTTGCTGTGCTAATGTAGTGAATGTAGGAACAGATGTTGTCAATGTGCTAACAGTTGTAGTTATCATGTATGCAGATCCAAAATTGAAAGATGGTTGGGATTGTCACGCCAGGAAATGGCTGTATCTTATATCAGTTTGGGAAATGATTATGAGCACGTGAGTCATGAAAGTACTGCTGAATGCATTCCTTATCAAGTCCCAAGTGGCTCACATGTAGGCAGTGATGGCCCGCATGAAGGCCCAGGCTCCAGTGGAGGGAATGCAGTGGCACAAATTACTGAGATGAACTATAGTAAATGGTTGGAACTTTTTACAGGCATGGGGCAAAAAATTGCACATGCTGGTTTGTTTAGGGAGTATTTGTACAAGTTTAGCATCGCACATAACTTTAAGCTTAAATTTTCGAGGAACAGCAAAGAGAGAATGTCTGTCATTTGCAAAGTGGAAGGTTGTCCATGGAAAATATGTGCAAGTGCATTGGGGAAGAATGTTCCATATCTTCGTGTCACCACATTCATTAATGAGCATGCCCATAGTGCCCAAGATAATTTGCAAGTTAGACGGTGTGCAAGATCTAATATGACATCCTGTATAATTATCGATGAGGTGAGGAACCATGCTGACAAGCGGGCAAGTGAAATAAGGACAAAATTGCAAACAGAATATGGTATGAATGTTACATACAAACAGGCATATAGGGCGAAGGAGAAGGCAATAGAAGACATACATGGTAGACCTGAACATTCATATATGTTAATACCATGGATATGCCAAAGGCTGAAGGAAACCGATGAGAAAATAGTAGCTGAATGGGTAGCTGGTCCTAACTACAGATTTGAGCGTGTGTTCATCGCATACGGGTGTTGTATAGAGGGTTTCTTGGCTGGTACTAGACCCGTTCTGTATGTTGACGGAACTCATTTATCTGGACCATATAAGGGAACACTCCTCGCAGGTTCGGCATATGATGCAAATAATGAGTTGTTGCCTTTTGCAATGGCTATTGTAAAGGGAGAGACAATTGATGACTGGACTTGGTTTATGTCTATGATTAAAAAGATAGTTGGCTCAAAGCCATTAACTATTGTGTCAGACCGTCATAATGCCATAATAGGAGCTGTACAATCAGTGTTCGATTCTGACAGACATGCGTATTGTTATAGGCACGTTAAAGAGAACTTTAGTGCAGAGTAGCTCAAATTGAACAGAGGTAAAAGGAGCAGAACACGCTCCAAAGAGGATGCATTAATGCTTCTTAATAAAATTGCATGGGCTAGGGTTGACAATGAATTTGACAAGGCAATGGCAGAAATGAGGGAGTTCTCTCCAGAGTTATTTGACTGGGTTAACAATCATTGGGATGTAGATAAGTGGGCTGTGAGCAAGTTCCCATATAAACGATGGGATAATATAACGACCAATATTGCTGAATCATTCAATGCTTGGATGGTCAAGGAAAGAAAGCACAATGTAGCCCAAATGATTCATGAGCATCGTGAGAAAGTTGCGAAAAAGATGCAAGCATCAAGTGTGGCAATGACAAAATGGAAGAGTTGTATAGGGCCAAAGATAGAGACCAAAGTAAAGGAAAATGTGGAGGTTAGTAAGCAGTTCATTACAACAAATTATGGTAGGGGAAATGTCAATGTCCAAACCTCACGTGGACACCACCGAGTGAGTCTCAGCTTGCACTATTGTAGTTGTGCAGAGTGGCAGATGACAGGGATTCCATGTAGGCATGCTTGTGCAGCGATGAAAACTGTCCATGGTGATATTTATGATTATATTGAGGGATGGTACAAATTTTCATGTCAGCAGAAGATTTATGGGAGGTGCATGACTCCGGTGGTCACAATTGACATGCCAAATATAAATGACTATAGGATGGAGAATATATGTAATCAAATTTTACTGCAACCCCCAATCACAAGTCGGGATCCTGAAAGGCCTAAGATTACAAGGCATGAGTCACAATACCAAGACAAAAAGATATACCGCTATACTCAATATCATCAAGTTGGACATACAAGAAGAACGTGCAAAAACCCAAATCCAAGTTGATTTGGGATGTACACCATGTGATGCGTCATTTTTTTGTTAGCATTGTTGGGCCATTTTTTTGATTGAAAAAATGTAAATAGTTTAATGTATTGGCCATGTTGGTTTTTGGTTAATGGCCATATTGGCATTATGTTGTTGGGTATGTTTTTTGTTGGTCAATGCTTTAACTGTTATTGTTATATCATTGTAAATACTGTGGATGGTTGGGTGGGTAATGTCCTTGACAATGAAACATTAAGTGGAAGCATCATCTTAATGTCCACTTGTCATGAAACATATGTAAATCAGTTATTGTGATGTATTTGATGATTGTTGGTTAATGACTAAAGTGATGTTGTTATTCTCTATTCTATTGTTGTAGTTGTGATGCATTTGCTGTCATGTTATTTTTCCTATCTGCAATTATGCTACTATGAGTAGTTATTGGTGCATGACAGACGTGCATGTAGGTAATGCCTAAACACTTCTAGTGAATTGTTGATCAGCTGTGGGTAATAACCTCATCACTTCTATTGAATCACAATAAAACTCCTCATGGGCCATTTCTGCCTACGTTTATATAGTAAGTAGTTATTTTCTACACCGATGTAGGTAATGCCTAAACACTTCTAGTGAATTGTTGATCAGCTGTGGGTAATAACCTCATCACTTTTACTGAATCACAATGAAACTCCTCATGGGGCCATTTCTGCGTACATTGATATAGTAAGTAGTTATTTTCTACACCGATGTAGGTAATGCCTAAACACTTCTAGTGAATTGTTGATCAGCTGTGGGTAATAACCTCATCACTTTTACTGAATCACAATGAAACTCCTCATGGGGCATTCCTGCGTACGTTGATATAGTAAGTAGTTATTGTCTACACCGATGTAGGTAATGCCTAAACACTTCTAGTGAATTGTTGATTAGCTGTGGGTAATAACCTAATCACTTTTACTGAATCACAATGAAACTCCTCATGGGGCATTCCTGCATACGTTGATATAGTAAGTAATTATTTTCTACACAGATGTAGGTAATGAGTACACACTTCTAGTGCTTCCTCAAATCGAACTAGTGAATGAATATGATTATTCATTGCGCACCACTAACTACGAATGAGTGACTAGTTATTTGCTTAAACGAATATAGGTAACGATTAAAATGTTATAGTCATCCTTTAAATAGATCTAGATACTCAACTTAATAACAAGTCGTAACTTGATAATCACCCAGAATTTGAACATGTACATTACCGGTACAACATCATCCCCTATGAAATTACATGGTTACTATTGAAGAAACCTTTCCAACTTGTCCTATACACATGTAAATACTAATTCTTGACACTCCTATTGAGTTGATCGCTGTCGTTTGCTTTTTCTAATATCTTCTTGTTCCTCCAACAGTGTTAAGGCAGCATCACGACATGCATTGTTAGGATGATTAACCATCCACCACATTAGATCACGCCTAAATTGAGCCACTTGATCCTGCACAGACATTAAATCCCTCGTCACATAGGGCAATAATCAATCACAACAAACAATCATTAATTACATAAAACGTACAGGAGTATAATTAAGCGCTGCCTGTGGATGCCACGATTTTAACCATAGCATAACATAGACTCCACAGTCCTTGCTGCACACAGCATGTCATGACATGTTAACAATTTTGCCCAACAACATCCAGCCAACCAATCAATTTAAAGAACAAAAAAGTTAATCACACTCACATGTTGTTTTATTTTGCAACATCAAGATAGATTATATCAGGCTTTGGCTTCTTCCCAATCAACTTTGGCTGAACCAACTCTATAATATCGTGAAACCGGTCCCGCTGGATAAAACAATAACAATCAATGAAATAAAAATTTCACAGATTAATTATAAACAATAATTGGTACATACACAAATGTTGTGGAACTTTTCCATATCGTCAACAATTGTTCCCTTCTGCTTGTTCTTTTTCTTTGGCTGCCCGCTAACATATATTCAGTGAATCCAGCATATAGAAGTTCATGACCTTCGGCTCCAGCACAAAGCAGAACCGATGTTGGTCTACAAGTGCTGGTCTCAAAATCAAGTCACAATCCCCAATGTTATAACCAACATGTTCCTCTTGTAGTTCCTTCTTGCTCACTGCAACACTCCACCCTGGACTACAAAGTTTTGACTGCAAAATATGACACCATAAGCATATTGACATAAACTATCACTGAAATTAAGTAATGTTACAGCAACCTTACCATAAAGTAGGCATCAAATATGTGTCGTCTAACTTGTCCACCCCCCTCTTTTATTTCTCCCATCAGCATGTGGCACACCATTGACATGACCTGTTTGACACATGACAAAATTTTTAAGCTTAAGCTTACACAGCATCTGTTATACACAATAGCTAATCAGGTGGAGATTTCATTACATGGTTACTAACTCTATGCATTCCACCCAATGACCTTAGATCATCACGAGTTACATGGAAGTCATACAACTCAACCAACCTCCTGCAGATCAAGTATTCATTTTGCTTAGACAGGCCAGAAAAAGTTTCATTCACATTTATTTAATAGCAATAAAAGGCTTACTTGTCACCATCAGCTGAACTGCACATTTTGGAGACAGTGATGAAAAATTTTTCCTTATCATCCATCTTCCAGTTTGTTCTCTTCACAACCTTAGGCACAACCCAGGGAGACTGTAGTTTTGGGGCAAGCTTCATCGGCCTTTTCGATCTTCTTATTTGTTCTACCTTGTCCAGTAGTTCCTCTTCATCCGATGCTCCTCCTTCGGCACCTGGGTGAATGATGGTGATAGGAGATAATTGCAATGATAGTTGTTCAATATCTTCCTCTTCACCTTCTTCCTCTTCAATATCATGCTCAGAATCTTCATTTTCTCCATCACCATCCTTGTCCTTCTCGCCATTATCTTCTCCATCACCATCCTTGTCCTTCTCGCCATCATCTTCTTCATCACCATCCTTCTCCTTCTCACCATCATCTTCTCCATCAGCTTCACCTTCAGGTTGTTCTTCCTCATAGGGCCGTACATGCCTTTTATTGTTAGATTTTGGCCTGTACTCCCTTCCCAGCTGTACCTTCATCAGCTCATTGTCAACAATAGCCACAAGTTTGTTGCTATTTTCTCTAATCATCCCCACCAACCTCTCACGCAAATCCTTCAACTCCTATAGGAAACCAAAAAAATTTTCAGTATGTATTGTCATTTCAAAAATATTTGAGAAGGTTACAGAAGTTTGTAAACATGACATATTACTAAATAATATAAACAAAATCACTATTTAACAAGGTTGCCTTTACCGGGTCTAGATAAGGTACAGATTCGCTTCCTCCCTTATTATCAAGCACTCCAGCACACCCTTCTGAATAGAGAAGTCCAATGCGGCTCTTTCTTTCTTTATTACTCATTTCATTGACCCTCTTATCCGTCCAGAATGATATGGCCTCAGTGTGGTCATGCTTTGCACTTTCAGTTATAGGAAAATACTCAAGCAAGTATAGCTATATCACCAATTAAATGACATTAAAACTGTTACAGTGGCAGAACAATAAGTAATAAAAAAAATGCATACCAGTAACAGGTATATGCATCCACCAACATTGCAGCTGCCATCCTACTTCCTCACAACCCTCAAATAATCTTCCATCTCCTTCGACAGCTCTTGCACCACAAACGTAGCCCAATCATATTCCACAAATGAATCCTTTGTTGCAGCCACCACCTTTATTAGTTGCTCACTTACTCTTCCACTAGAAGTGGGGCATAACAGAGTTCCGAGTGTGTGGAGCATAAACAACATTTTAAATTCATCACCCTTCTTTTGTCCAGATGTTATCACCTTCAAAATATCTGTATAAGACTTCTGGAAATAATTAAGCCTAAGGCTTATAAACGCAGGGTCGTCCTCACTAACTTCAGATGTCACCTCTCTTCTCCCAACATGGGGTATGCCCAAGAGCATTTGCACATCTACTGCATCCAGTTTTCTAGACATTCCCCTAATGAGAAATTGCTGCGTTGGTGGATCATATGAACGCATCATAGCAGCACAAATGTCTCGAGGGAGTCTACGAAGTCTCAACTCTAGCAACCTTGACAACTCCATTGCTTGAACCTCGTCTTTCAGATCCTTGTTGTCCTTAACATACGCTGCCAAGGAAATGAACTGTCCTAGTGCACTACGGCAATGAAAAGGAAGCTAGTAGTTGCTCGTTGTTACCTTTGGTGGCCTTGTTTTCTTTGCCTCATCTTTATATCTTTGTCTCTCTAATTCAGGCAGTTCTTTCCATGCCTTTGTCACTGCTTTAGTGCATTGGGTCACATTCTTGAACTTCTTCTTACACTTATTCATGAACTCAGTTCTAAACAAAAGCAACCCGCTCCTCACAGGTTTAGATGGACCTTGTTCATCGGCTGACATATTTGTTATCCTGCAATAGCCATCAATTTTCATCAACAGCCATCATCACCTAATCCATTCAAACATTTCTATAACAAGAGAACAAACCGAACGTCTCCAGTTGTAGACATGCAGGAAACCAGTTCAATTTCAATGACTTTTGCTCCAGATACAAAAATAAATCCTCAACAATTCAAATACATGATCTACGATGACTTAATAAGAAGCAGACCCAATTAGCAATCTTTTTGCTTGAACTGATTGTTTTTACAACATGCATAGAAATAGTAGACTCTAAAATCAAGGATACATTATTTCCCTCCACCCTCACTCAGCAGCCATGCTTAACTTAGAAGAACGACCTTAGATACTCTGTTCTACGGGTCTGTTCTATGGGTCTGTCTACTTCCAAAATAGTGATACCCAAGCAAAATGACGCAATTGAACAATTATATATATTCATATCAAATGAAATAGTTCAACCTTTAACAGAAAAAATTATACCCACAAGACAATGCAAATCAGAACTCATTCGTAATGATCAAAACACTTTAAGAGTGAGTTCATCAACAACAGCCAGAAAAAGTTCGGAA